GTGTCACTGTGCTAGGTCTCGGCTCACGGGTGCAGGTCGCCGCCTCTCGCTGTTGGAGGTTTTGCTTATTGTTTCATTTCTGATGCTGTTTCTTAAGAGTCTGCGTTTGGGGTAAATCAAAAGCTATTTTTAGCAATGGCTAGAACTGCTTGATGTCTTCTTCCTTTTTTCTGTGTCTTGTTCTGACAAGATGTGGATTTTTAATTAATAATGAGTAATTATAACATTGTTTCTTTGGGGATTTGGCTTTGAGAGTTGTAAATGGATAATTTAAATGACATTTTTCTGGAAATATGGTGTCCTGATTGGTGACCGTGTAGGTTCAGCTTATTTGGCACATGGCTGCATCGTGACAGTGTTCACCTTAGACTGTGTTGGTTGGAATGATTGTGCTTAATGTTAGCATTAAATAATGGAGAAGCGACTTTGCTTTTGAGTAACCGATTAGCTTTGTGTTAAATGCAGAGTACAATCACAGTGCTTCCATGCCCCTGTGTCGCCCTTGTCCAGCGTAGCATCTTGTCTGTGTCTTGCTGTGGTAGTGGTGTTGGGAACACATCCTACATCTTTATAAGTACTCAGTCTCTAAGGGAGCCAGAAGGCAGACAGAAGCAGGTTTAAATTCAGGCTAGGTTCGTTGCCAATATTCTTGGAGCCTGTGGTGCCAGCACCATCTGCACTGGTGAGACTGGAGCCCAAGAGAACACTTCCGAGTTGGTTCACAGTCAGCATTATCACTAATTACAGCGGAGAGCGGTATCTTTTCATTTTTTCTAGCCTAGACACTTCCTCTCACTGTCTTCTTGTGCTTGTCTTTGGTTTTAGCCTCTGTTTGTTGCTTTCTTTAGCCACTCCCCCTCATAAAAGTGAGGGACCGGAGTGGAAAAGGAGGAAATAGAGGGAGATAGTCCCGAGACTTTCTTCCTGTTTCCCTAACTTCATTCCACTCAGTTTTGCTTACCATTTAACCCGAGACAGTTAGAATGAAAAGGAAAAAAACAAAACAAAACAAAACAAAACTAAAGCTCTGTAGTCTTCAACAACAAATATTATTAGTAGAAAAATATGTTTCTATGTTAGATGGCAACAGTTGGTCCCCTTCACACCTGATTATTTCTAAACAAAAGATACCCCCATCCCAAAATATTTTCTGTAGGGAAACTGAGGAAGAAGATGGATTCTGAGTAGTAGATAGGTGGCTTTAGCTCAGATAGTGTACACCATTTCTTCTGTATTCAATGATTTTTTTATTAGATTTTTTTAAAAAAAATACCAATTCAAATTCCCACTCCCTCCCCTCCTCCCATTCCCTCCACACACCCTCCCACCCCACCCCCCTCTAATCCTAAAACAGGGTAAGGCTCTTTGCTTTGTGGAAGGTCCAAGGCCCTCCCAACTACATCTTGGCTGAGCAACGTATTCATCCAAAGAGAATAGGATCCCCAAAAAAGCCAGTACAAGCAGTAGAAATAAATCCCAGTGCCACTGCCAGTGGCCCCTCAGTCTGCCCCAGCCATACAACTGTCAGCCACATTCAGAGGGACTAGTTTGGTCCTTTGCTTGTTCCTTCCCAGGCCAGCTGGAGTTGGAGAGCTTCCATTAGCTCAGGTAAACTGTTTCAGTGCGTGAATCCATCATGGTCTTGACCTCTTTGCTCATATTTGAGACAGGTTTATCTGTGTAGCTTTAGAGCCTGTCCTGGAACTAGCTCTGTAGACCAGGCTGGCCTCGAATGCACTGAGATCTGACTGCTTCTTCCTCCTGAGTGCTGGGATTAAAGGTGTGTGCCACCACCACCTGGCCATATTTAATGATTTTTAGAGTTTTCTTTTGATACAAAAGTATTTCCGTTAAACAAGATTTCAAGATTCTTTTTTTTCCTTCTAAATTATTTTTCAAATGCTCATCTATGGTTATAATAAATAAGATAAAGTATAATAAATAAAAATAAGGGTCTCTGAAAGGTCAGGGTCTGAGCTAAGAGTATTACAGATAGGATTTGGAAATTTGATAATGGTATAAAATTGTGAAAGTAAATGAAGATGGAATGAAGGTATGATGGATTTAAATCAACAAAGAAACGAAAGGATTTTTAAAAGATCCTCTCTTTTTCCTGTTTCTCCTTCCCCTTCTCTCTCTGTCTCCATCCCTCTTCTTCTCTCTCTTTTTCCTCTTTCTCTGGAAAGGGAGAGGAGAGGAGGAAGAGGGAGCAGGAACGAGCCTCTGTCCCCCTTAGCTGAGTGTCAGGAAGACTTGTAAATTAGTGTAATTCACTCTTCACGTCTTGTTTGTCAGATTCAAGTGATCGAGAGTGACAGGGCCACCAGAGGCGGGCAGGTCTACACTACCAACACCAGAGGCCAGGTGCCTCCGCTGGTCACCACGGACTGTGTGATTCAAGACCAAGGTATTTCTTTTCAGTGACTTATTATTATTATTATTGTTGTTGTTGTTGTTGTTGTTTTAAAATTTCTCACTGGCTTAAAAACAAATACCCTGACTCCACTCATCAATACTATTATTGATGGGCAACCCCGTTATAACTGAGAATAGACTAATTTCCTATTAATCGCTCAAGAACCCCAGAGGTGCTGCCAACAGTTATACTCTCTGACGTAACAATCCGCAGAACTTTGAGTGATGTATAATACAATGTATCCATTTAAGAAAATTTCAAATTTTGGTTTATGGTTTAAGGTACTCCATCCCCTACTTGGGTTGGATTTGCGCGCCCTGCTGGGCATTGTGAGCAGAACAGGGAGGCTAAGCTCTGTGAGTCAGCTCACCCGCTGTAGCCTGGGGATACTGTTTTTAGCTGGTCTCTTAACATTCTGGTTCTTGTTTCCCTGCCTCTACACCAGAATAAGGGGAACGTGAACTCTGCCTCTCCTGATGCAGCCCGCGCCTGCTCTCATTTTAATCTGCCTATCAAGCCCCATGCAGATCCTTTTCTTGTTGGCAAGTCAAAATGTGACGGACAGGCTTAGAGCTGCAGTTCAGTGGTAGAGCTGTGCCTGGCTTTGATCCTCAGCACCAACATCAAAGCCACAGTGGCTCGGTGAAGTCAGAATACCGCATTTTAATGGCTGTGTGCTCTGTGGACTGTTTCATGGAAGTATGACGTCACCCCTTAGCTCAGAGTTGTCAAGTCATCCAGGACCCAGTCATCTTCTCACATTATCGTTAGACATTGATATTAAACTGAATCACGATCAGTCTTGAATGATTTGCTTTGTTCTTATTATTTACATAATCATCAGATGTACACAGTGAGTTCACGTTTGTAAAGTGTTAGGGTGTGCTGCGTGATGGTTTTTTTCTACTCTTGTGGATAAACAGATGCGGCCGTTTTAGTCCAAACCCTTACTTCTGCATGAACTTTCTGTATATTCTTTAGTTTTATTTAATAGTTTAAGTATTGAAGTATTGGAACTCCTTTGAGACCTCTTTAGAGTCTCTGTCTGTCTGAATTACTGAACCAAGTAGTCACATTGGTGTAGCAGCACCATCAGGTGCAGGTGGCCATACGCCCTTTTCTTGATGGATCTTCCTCATTTCAGAGCTAGGGCCCTGGGTTCTCCTTTTTTAATCCTTCCTCAATCTTTTAAAAATGTTTTTTGCTTTCTCTCTCTTTTCTGTGCCTATCCATGCATGGATATGCATATGTGTGCATATGCATGCGTATATGCATGTGTGTATGCATATGCATGTATATGCATATTATGTATATTTGCATATGTATTTGCATGTATATATATGTGTGTGCATGCATATTGTATATATGTGCATATGTATGTATATATGCTCATGTATGTGTAGATGCCTGTGTATTGTTTATGCATACATATATGCATATATGGATTTAGTTAGTCCTTGATCACCTTCCCTTTGGCCCTGGCTATTGCTGTAGTGGTTTAGCCTACTCTTACGTACTGTCTCTGTTCACAGCTCTTAAAAGGACACAGCTAGTCTGGACTCCAACTCCCCTCTAACCATGTTCTCAGACTTGCTCTGTGACTTAATCCATTTTCCAAACTGGACATGTTCTAACCCAGTTCTGATCTCTGTCCACTCATCCCTTAAAAACTGGTCCCTTCCTCATATTCCTTGCAGCCTCTCAGTTTTCAGTGATGGCAATTTCAAATTCTTGTTGATCCTCAGACTCACATCTGTACAGTGCATCCATTATTCCTGCAAGCGTTCATGCCATTAGATTGACATATGCCCAGGATCTTTCTGTCCCTCCATGCTCTGTTGCCAGGGGACTGGGCTGAGCCACTACCTTTTTCTCATGCGGCCCCAGCCGCAGCCTCCTCCTGAGCTTTCCCGGCTCTGCTCCTCCTATTGCAGCCCTTCTCCACCGCACAGCCAGGAGACTAAGTCAGGTCCCGACACCCCTCTACCCAACCCTGGCAGTGATGCTCCGTTTCATTTGTATAACCTTGAGGGCTTGCTGAGCTTTACGTGTCCAGGATCCGACTCTGTTCTTCCTCTGAGCTCAGCTTCAGTTGCTGGGCCCCAAGAAGATCCAATCTAAACAGCTCCTGTCCTCCTCTGGTAGGCTTCCTGTGTAAGTCTATCTGGGTGAATTCCTTGTCTCCGTCGAATCTTTACTCAAATGTTATCTTTTTCCTGAGGCTGGTCCTGCAAGCATTTAAAATTTCAATCAGCCTCTTCTTCTCTGATACTCCTTAACCAAAGAGGCTTCATTTTTTTATAGCTGATAATCACATTCTAATGTCCTAGATAGTAGACTCGTTCTTTGTGTTTCTATTATTCATGATCTGTTAAGAAATAAAAAACATAGCTATGTAGTACACAGTAAGGCTTAGGACGGTGCCTAAAATGAAGTGGACACTCAATAAACATCATTTGATTATCCTCTCTGGTCCTAATAGATTATAATCCTAAATATTTTTGATCGTTAGCTTGGGTGATAGTTAAGGTCTAATACTTGTTCCCCAGGAGGATGGGACAAGAGGATTTCAAGTTCAAGACTTGTGTGGTCTACAGTAAATTCAAGGGCAACCTGGACAGTTTCATAAGACCATGTCAAAATAAAACTAAAAAAGATTGGGGTGTATATAACTCATCAATCATATGCTTGCCTAGCATAGTGAGGCCTTACGTTCTATCTCCAGTGCCAGTAAACGGAAATTAAAACCTAGGACAGAGACCAAATGTAGTGACAGTCAATACATCTTTTATTTCTATTAATCCTTTGAAAACTTCATACATGCATGCAATGTATTTTGATCATATTTGCCCCCTTCTCTCCTCGGATCCATCCCCACCTCTGCAAACTCTCCCATATTCCTGTCTTGTTTGTGCTGCCGTCATGGGTACAGGGCCATCCCCAGAGTGTGACGGACCTACCAGGGGCTACATCCTTAAAGAAAATCGACTCTCTCTTCCCCACAAGCCACTGGAAATTAAAGGGTTTGTTTGGCTTACACTTCCGAGCAGTCCATCATTGGGGGAATCCAAAGCAAGAGCTCAAGCAGAGTTGACACCTAGAGGCAGGAACTGAAGCAGAGACTGTGGGGAACTGGTTTTCTCCTTATGCTAGCTCAGTTTGCAAGCTCTGTTTGCTGTGTTACCACCACTCAGGACCACCTGCCCACATTAATCAATAGTCAAGAAAATGCCCTATAGCCTGGCCTATAGACAGTCTGATGGAAGCATTTTCTCAATTGAGGTTCTTCTTCCCAGGTAACTCTTAATTTAAGTCAAACTGAACAACAACAAAATGACCAGGGCACTCTCTCCCCACCGGCGGTAACTTTCTCGTTCCCTGGATTCTAACAGGTACCCCGGAGTTAAGCAAATAATCTAAAGATTCAACACTAGGATCCATGTATGAGTGAGAACATGTGACGTTTGTTTTCTTGGATCTGGGTTACCTCACTCAGTATGTTTTCCAGTTATGTTATATCCATTTGTCTGCAGATTTCGTAATTTAATTTTTTATGGCCGAATGAAATTGCATTGTCTAGGGATCACATTTTCATTATCCATTCATCTGTTGATGGCCCTTTAAGCTGTTTCTTTGTCTAGCTCCTGTGAAGAGAGCAGATATGAACATGGATTGTGCATCCCTGCAGGAGAATATAGTCTTTGGGTATCCACCCAGGAGTGGGATAGCTGGGTCAGCAAGGAGCAGTCACACTGATTTCCAGAGCAGCTGTGCCAACTTGAACTCCCACCAACAGTGCCCAAGGGCTCCCCACATCCTCAGCGGAATTTGTGGTTGCATGTTTTCTCCATCTTAGCCAATCTGACCGAATTAAGATAAGGCCTCAGATTAGTTTTAATTTGCATTTTTCCTGTTGGCTAAAGTTGGTGAATACTTGTCAAAATATTTCTCAGACGTTTGTATTTCTTCTTGTGAGAAATCTCTATTCTGTTCCTAAGCCCACTTTTAAATTTAGTGGTTGGTTTTCTTGGTGTGTAGTTTTTGGAGTTCTTGTATATTATGGACACCAATCCTCTGTCAGATGTGTAGCCGGCCAAGCTCTTTCCCGTTCTGTAGGCTGCTTCCTCTTCAGTTGACCAGCAGTTTCCTTCACTCTACAGAACTTTTTAATTCCGTGACAACACACTTGTTGATTACTGGTCCTGTTTCCTAGGTGACTGACATTCTATTCAGAAAGTCATCACCTGAGCCTAAATCCTGAAGTGTGCTCCCTACTCTTCCTCACCTGAGCCTAAACCCGAAGTGCACTCATTCTTTGTTCTGAAGTTCCAGAGTTTCGGGTCTAATGTTGAGACCTTTGATCCATTGAAACTTTATTTGAACTTAGGTGAAAAAGCAAGATCCTTCCACATATAGAAATTCAGTTTGCTTGACACAATTTGTTAATGATGATGCTTTTGAAAAAAATTAAATTGTTCTAATGATTAAACTGTTTTTCATGCCATGTGTTATTCTAGTTCTCTGTGTGCCACATGATAAAAGTGTGTGGTCAGAAGTCTAATGTATATTAAAAAGTGATTAGGATGACTTTAAAAGTAACATTTCTATAACAAGTAGAACTTTAATTTACGAATTCCATTTACAAACTTAAAAAAATGTAGACAGTTGCCGCTGTATTTGACAACGTCTCCTTTGGTAGTAAAATGTTGTCCAGATATGCATGTGACCATGGCAGATGTGTTGGTAGGCGTGGGAACAAGAAAGTGATTGTTGGGCTGGAGAGATGACTCATCAGTTAAGAGCAGTATTGTTGCTCTTCCAGAGGACCAAAGTTCAGTTCCTAGCACCCATGTTAAGCTGCTCACAGCAGCCTGTAACTCCTTCTCCTGGAGATCTAGTGCCCTCTTCTGGCCTCCATGGGCACCTGCACAAGTGCTCACCCTACCTCCTAAGGCTCCCCCATCAGACAGATGCTACCATAAATCCAACTGAAAATAAATCTTAATAAAAAGAACGGCTGTGAGCCTAAAGCTTCATTCTCTCACGTCTCTTTGTCTCTTTGTTTCATATCTTCCATTAACTCTAAATCCTCTCCGGTCTATATTTGGGCTGCATTGAAGCCCAGCTTAGGGAAAATAGTAATAGTAATAAAACACTTCTTCCGTGTCTCATGTATGCCCTCGGAATGTAGACTGCAGAATTCTGCAACACTACACATTTTTAGAAACGGAGAATTTATAGATGAGAATGAATTGTTTGGATGTACTCTTGTTTGGGTATCTTGGACAGTTCTTTATTCTAACCGAGTGTTGTCTGTGTGTGACTTTGGATGATTCAGGCCACTCGAGCCCCCGGTACATTCGCTGCACCACGTACTGCTTCCCGTGCACCGCGGACATGGCTAAGCAAGCTCAGATCCCACTAGCTGCCGTCATCAAGCCCTTCGCTGACATTCCACCAAATGAGGTAAGAATGGCTTTTTACAGTGATCCAGTAATTCGCCTACTCCAAGTTTGTCTCATCAGTTTCTCATTGTACATTATTCTATACTCCAGGAAACTGGAAGAAGCAGATACAATTCAAAAAACAGCTAGTCATTCAATTCATTTGTAAACCAGAATCTCATAAGCCTCATTACTTAGTGCCCTGGGTACTAATCCCAATGGTGTGATAAGATGGACCAACATATATTGATAAAGAGATCCTGTGGTGTATAACATTTGTAGCTTAAATAATATGTGCTGTAACTATTGCCAATGTTTTATTGAAGAGAGAAAAGGAAAAGGAGGAATGTTTGTATTGTATTATAATGTCAAAAATTTTTAAATGCTGAATGTACAGAAAATTTAAAGTAATTTTATGTCATCATCTAAATACTATCAATGTTTGTTATTTTGTCACATATCTACATTTTTCTTTCTTTTTTTTTTGGAAGCATCTTAAGGTTAGTTGTGAATGTCAGTCTACTTCACTCATGCACACATTAGTAACTATTGCCCAATATCTGCTTACTGAAAATTACCTACAGAATTCATTTATGATAAGTATGTACATCCTTTTGTGGTCTGGCAGTCAAACCCAAGGTCTCATGTTCAAGAAATGCATGCCTTAAAGTTGCTATTGATTACATTTGAACTAATCTATATACCTGTGTAACTTTGATGCCTATCAGAATCCAAACTATCACAGTGACTCTGGAGAAGTAGCCCATGCTCCCGAGCCATTCCCACCCTTCACACAGCCTCCCTTCTTTGGTGCCCACTGTTCTGACTTTTTTCTCTGACAGATTTGTATTACTTTTCTAGTGCCTTATATGGCTAAAATTACAGAGGCTAGAAAAATCTCCCATGAAAGTCTCTCTCTCTCTCTCTCTCTCTCTCTCTCTCTCTCTCTCTCTCTCTCCCTCTCTTTCCCTCTCCCTACAGAGGTATGCCAGTTTGCTTACACAGTAGTTCATAGATGTGCAGGCTTTTCCTAACTTATTAATGTAACGGCTGTGAACATGCTGTACAAGTTTCCCGTGGGCATACACTTATTTTCTTAAGCTAACATCCACAAATACTTTGAATCCTATTAAGGATTTTAAGTGGTTTTATAAGACACTCAAAGGCCGTTTTCTGAAGTGGTTGCCTCATTTTATTCACTCTGCACTAGCATGCCTGCTCCTCCGCATTGTCCCCAGGATCCCATGATGTCCTCACTTTAATCTAAGCAACCATGATGGGTATGTGGTAGAATCTATGACATTTTTTATTTCCAGTTTTGTGATTTAAATAAAATTTAATTTCAAAAGGGTACACTGACTAGTATGCCATTCATAAACACATGATTCACATGAATAAATGACAATATTTGTTATCTTATGATTTTTTTAGGGAATTAACACATCCTAGGTATATGTAATTTCTCGTTTACTGAGACCCACCTCTCTTTTCCCCCTTATTCTCTAGGGAGAGACACAAATACACTTAATGTTTATTCTCACCTTATGACAATAGGTAGTACTATTCTTTGCTTGGCTGAGCTGATGGCATTTGAATAATAAAATTTGAACATTCTCAGTGGGTAATCAATCCCTTCCCCTGCTTCTAGCCCACCAGCTTTTTTCAAACAGCCTTACCTATTCTTTCAGATTCCTTTTACAATTAAAATATGCATATACCAGCCTACATGTATTCATCCTGTAAAAAAATCAACATGTAAATTACTATACTAATGCTGGCCCAGCTGTGCACTGACCTCCTCTTTTCTATTGTCTGTGAGTGTGTCTTTCACTCGTCCCATGCCGCTGTTTAGAGGACAGTGTCACCCTTAACAGTGGGGAGGCATGCATGTAGTAAGAGAAGCATCGTTACCACTGTGTGTGCCAGTGTGAGATGTTGGAAGCACAGAGCTTTTGTAGCATGAGTCCCAAAGCTGGGGAGCTGCGTTCCCGCAAATGTGCCCGGAAGAACCGTGGATTCGCTCCTCCTTGGGGTGGGGTTGTTGCAGGTGTGCTTTCTCTGTCTTGCCTCTGAGACTTGTAACTTTCATAATCAGGGGAAGATGAGTTTATATCTTAAAAGCTACCCCCCCAAGAATACATCAAATAAGAAAACATTCTAGGCAGAAGTTCTGTTGAATATCAAAATCATGGATGTGGGACTTAGGCCCCTGACTGTCATTTTTGGGTATACTGGGCTCACTGTAGTGAACTTGTCTGATTTTTTTTTCTTTTTTGGTTTTTTGAGACAGTGTCTCTGTGTAGCTTTGGCTGTCCTGTAACTCATTCTGTAGGCCAGGATGGCCTTGAACTCGTGGAAATCCACCTGCTTCTGCCTTTCCTCTGGTGGAATTAAAGGCATGGGGCACCACCTTCTGGCTTGATTTTGCTGGATTTTAGCTGGACACAAGCATAAACTATTCTTTATCTCCTCCCAAGAAAGCTAACTTGGGTCAAATATCCCGGGAAGGGGCTTGGGGCCCAGCCAGTAAGGTACCAACTTCACAGGCAACGAGGACCTCTGCTTTGATTCCCAGTCCACACTAAAAGCTAGGCTCAGCAGCGCCTATTCGTTGCTCTCGCACTGGGGCAAAGAGACAGGTGCTCCTAGGGGATGGATGGACAGCCAGTCTAGTTGAATTAGTGAGCTCCAGGCTCAGAAAAAGACCCTGTACCCCCAAATAAGTTGGACAGCTATAGAGAAAGATACCCATCATTGACTGCTGCCCCCTATACATGTGCACATATAGGTATAGACTCCCTCCCATACACATAGCTATACCATACACAGACATGGCTCACCCAGAGAGACAACATACAAATGCTTGGAACCGGATAAAGTTTAGCTGTTGTTTGCTGATGACACCGCTCCTTGGCCGTCTTACTATATGCTCGTATCAATAGGTTTCTGTTGGTTTGAGACAAGGGTCTCATATAGGCTGGCCTCCAGCTCACTGTGTAGCCAGGGATGACCTTGAACTTTTGATCCTCCTGTCTCCACCTCCTGAGGGAGGAATGTGATGTGGGGCTGGAAGCCAGGAGCTCTGCCCCGCACTCAAGGCCGTCACTCTGCCAGCTGAAACACACTCCCCCCCCCAAGCTTCCTGTTATCAAGGCAGTAGTAATAATGTAATATTCAATAATATGTTTCTAAAAATTAAACCTGATATGTGTGGAGATTTGGGGTATTGTTGGGGGGAAAATCTTTCAGCCATTAATTCAAGCCTTCCCCAAAATCATATAGACATTTATATCAAGACTGAATATTTGCTTCGTGAGTTTTAAAGTCAATAGTTCTAACTGAATGGTATCTACCCTGATGTAAATAGAGGCTGCTTGTTCATTTCCCGGCTGCTCAGACATGAATAATCACACAGAAGCTATATTAATTACAACACTGTTCAGCCAATAGCTTAGGCATATTTCTAGCTAGCTCTTACGTCTTAAATTAATCCATTTCTCTTAATATGTGTATCGGCCTGAGGTTGTGCCTTACGGTAAGGATCTGGTATCTGTCTCCTTTTGGCAGCGACATGGTGTCTCCCTGATCCTGCCTATTCTCTCTCTATCTCTTCCACCCTGGCTATATTCTGCCCTGCTATAGGCCAAAGCAGTTTCTTTATTAACCAAAGGTAACAAAACATATTCATAGCATACAGAGAGGAATACCACATCACCCTGAAGCCTGACATTCCCTTTGTGCCAGTTTGAGTTCAGGAACGTCTCTGGGCTTTCCAGAGTCAGAGCAGGTGAAGTTAGACTGATGAATGACATTTGAAATCTGACTTGGGGAGAAGCTGTACTTAAGAATAAAAATACATTGTCTTCCAGTATTTGCAGACAGTGTCATACTGCACAGTTAGATGCCTGTGGCAGTTCTGCTTCCTTTGCTCTGCCCCTTCCCTCAGAGCAGCAGGAGAAGGATCATTCTGGATGGACAGATGTGAGAGGCCCTGCCTGCGGTGGCAGTGTCCCCTTCATGAAGAGCTGCCTCCTCAGAGAAGCACTGTCATTTTTGCTTATTGAAATAGAAGGAACAGACAAGGGGTGTGGAGAAGATGCTAAAGCTCCAGGGAGTAGCTCTCGAGGGCATCCTTGGAGAAAGTGTCTACTCCATGAGCATTTAGCTGGACCTAAATGGGGAGAGCCACGGACAGTAGAGAAACACTGTTGAAAAACTGTGCCAGCCAACCTGGGTAGTTATCCCCATTTTAGGGATGAGGAATCTAAGGCAGAGTTAGGTGTGTTGAAAAGGTCAGCAACTATTAAGTGGGCCCAATGCCAGGCACCGGAGTTCGTCAAAGTCATATTCTCTCTCCCTCCCTCCCTCATTCAACCCATATCCACATACTCAGATGCTTCTCGCAGAATGAACATTCAACATGTTCAACGTGTTCTCATCTCTGTGCCCGTTCATTCTTCTAAATACTAGTAATTGTTGCCACTGCTTACCTAATGGCTCATGTTCGAAATCAAAACTCAGTAATTATAGTTAGGTAAATGAATGTGAAGGACAAGGTGTTTTAGGTTTTTGTGTTTTATTACTTGTTTTTTGTGATGGGGTCTCACTGTGTATGCCAGGTTGGCCATACAGAAATCCACCTGCCTCCTGAGTCCTGGGATTAAAAATGTGTGCCACTATACCCAACCCTCAGGGAAATAAGCTTTAAAATATCTTTCCTGGGGATGGAAAGATGGCTCAGTGGATAAGAGCACTGGCTGCTCTTCCAGAGGGCCCAGGTTTGATTCCCAGCACCCACATGGTGACTCACAAACATCTATAACTCTAGCTCCAGGGTATCCAGCACCCTCTTCTGGCATCTGTGGACAAAGACATGCACCTCATTCACAGGAATAGATGCAGGCAAAAACATTCAGATCCATAAAATGAAAGTAAATAAATAAATTCAAATAAAGTACCATCCCGAGCAAGTAGGTTATACAAGAACAGTTTTCCATATGAATAGCATTTTAGATCATTGCC